GTAGCCCAAAATTTATCATTTAGAATTATCTTTTTTATTTCCTCCCCCTCTCTTTTCTTCCCCCAAGCAGAGTTAAGCCATTCAGTTGATGTAAACGTTGTTTCCAACGGTTGCCTCACCTCCATCAAGCTCTGCAGTGTCAAATAGGATGTGGCAAACCTATAGATTCATAGTGCACAAATGTAAGAACTAAGAACATACAGTAGGAATGATTTGAGGCAATGAAAAGGGGTCTGCGTCATTGCGGAGGGACCCTTCTGGGAAATATAGTGTACAAGTTGACATAAGCGGTGGAGAGAAGAGCTATTTTTATTTGAAATGCAATTTTTGCGAAGAAGTGGTGAAGGGAGGTGTTACCCGCATGAAGGAACACTTATCATGCTCACATAAAAACGTAGCACCGTGTGCAAATGTGCGGGAAAAGGTGGAGGAAATTATTGCTTATATGAAGAAAATTACCACGGCAAAACACTTGCAACCGGAGCTATTTGATGATAGGGTTGAACATAGCGCTTATTTTGGGAGTAAGAGTGGAAAGGGCTCTTCCTACACTATACATAACAGAGGTGTATGGGGTCCTATGGATCAGTATGTGACTAATACAGAAGAGCATAGAGGACAAGCACAAATGATGCCTGCGGCCGGTACTAGAGATGGTCAATGTCAGGTTTGCATGGATATTGGGAGTTTTTTTTTTTAAATGCCATACCTTTTAATTTTTCTACGTTGCCTGCCTACTTGAATATGCTGCGGTCTATAGGGTTGTATGAGAGAGGATTGAAGGCACCTTCTATGTATGAGTTGCGAATGATTTTAAAGGAGGAGCTGCTGAACACAGAGCGTAGCATTGATGAGATTAAAAGGACATGGATTGAGACTGGTGTAACCATTATGTCAGATGGATGGTCTGATATGTAGAGTAAGAGCTTGATTAACATTCTTGTGAATAATCCCTACGGCACGGTGTTTTTACGATCGGTTGAAGCTTCAGATGAGGTGAAAAATGCTATATTCATTTTTAATTTACTTGATGGGGTTATTCAGGAGATTGGGGAGCAATTGGTTGTCCAGGTAGTGACTGATAATTCCAGTACATATAAAGTAGCTGATCAGATGTTGATGGAGAAAAGGACACACCTATATTGGACATCAAGAGTGCTCTTTCTAGGGTGAAGAAGATTACAAAGTTCATCTACAATCACTCTTGGGTCTTAAGCTTGATGAGAAAGTTTTTAAAGAAATAAATAATTCGCCCTGCAACCACTAGGTATGTTCTTAATTTTGTACATTGCAAATCATTCATACTGTATGTTCTTAGTTCTTACATTTGTGCACTGTGAATCTATAGGTTTGCCATATACTATTTGACACTGCAGAGCTTGATGGAGGTGAGGCAACCATTGGAAGCAACATTTACATCAACTGAATGGCTTAACTCTGCTTGGGGGAAGAAAAGTGAGGGGAAGGAAATAAGAAAGATAATTCTAAATGATAAATTTTGGGCTACTGTGACCTATGCCATTTTGAGCACTAGACCCTTAGTGCAAGTACTACGCTTAGTGGATGCAGAGAAGAAACCAGCTATGAGTTTTATTTATAATGCTATGGATGAGGCCAAGGAGTTGATTGCACATAACTTGGGAGGAGAGGAGGCAAGTTATAGGGAGATTTGGGATATCATTGATGCTCGGTGGGAGGTACAGTTACACCGTCATCTACATGTAGCGGCATATTATCTCAATCCTCAATTTTAATATTCAGAGAACAAATCTTCAAATCTGGAGGTGAAGCTTGGTTTATATCATTATATGGAAAGACTGGAGCAGGCAGATAGCGAGCTTGCAGATTTAGAAATTGTTCTATTTTGGAATAAAGAGGGGTTTTAGGTTTGAATGCAACTAAAACAACCATTTCTAAACGGTCTCCAGGTATAGTTATTTTGGTAAATACAAGACACTTTATTCAGTTCTAATTATATTTTTTCTTGAAAATAGTTGAATGGTGGATCCAATTTGGTGTTTCCACCCGTTGGTTACAGAGTTTTGCTGTAAAAGTGTTGGGCCTCACTTGTTCTTCTTTTGGGTGTGAGCGAAACTGGAGTACATATAGTCAAGTGCAAACAAAGAGAAGAAATCGGCTATCAACACTCAGTATGAACTCCCTCGTATATATAATGCACAACAAGAGGTTAAGAGATAGAAGGTTGAGGAATATGGGGTTGAAGAATGATGAGGACCTGTTGGTGTGTGATGATGTGTCATCTTATAATGAGTTGTTCATAGATGATGAGACAGATTTTCCATTATCAGACTTACAGCTTGTAGATCTAAATGTAGATGTCTTGAGGGGCGAAGCAGATCAAGTGGGCACATCTACTAAACCACACCACACACATCCACGAGCTCTGCAGCACAACAATCAAGTAAAGGTATTCCACAACTTCTTATATGCTATCGCAGTATATTTATATCAAGTGAGCAATTAGCATGCTAATGATATTTTCTCTTTTTGAACACAGAAGAGAAAAGTGAGTCATATTGAAGATTATGATGATATGACATTCATAAATACAATTGGAGAAGAAGATTCCCTTGAATACCCATTTAGTGATGGGATATGATTGCATTTTATATATTTTTTGTACTTTAAAAGTTTTGTTAACTTAATATTTTGTGATTTTGTTCTTTGGGACATGATTTTATTGCATCTACTTTCTTACTTTTCACTATTTTTATATATCATTTAGATGTTTTTATTGTAAGATACAATATTCATATTATTTTCCTGCTAAAACCCTTAATTTTTTATTTACGCAATTTTGTGTCCGTGAGGCTTATGCCTTCGACCGCCTCGAGGCTTACGCCTCGCCTCACGGACGAAAACCACCTCGAGGCTTAATTACGCAATTTTAAACCTTGATCCCTAATGAAAGAATCCAAAATCGGACTAAATAATTCAAAAAATCAAAAACCCTAGAATTTCTTTCACTTGAAAAATCTAACCAAAAACTAAAAAAAAATACCTAAAATTGTTTGTGGACTTCTCCTACAAGGCGGCCAGACACTTCAAGATCGCCGGAGAGAGCGGCGGGATGGGAGGCCGACCGTGCGGGAGGGTCTCAGTTTCGCGACCTGGGGCTTGTGGGCGGAGAAAAATTGCGAAATGCCTGGACCGATCGGGTATAAGGGAAAAAAGGCTCAATTTAAGTAGGTGGGACCATTTGGATGAGGCGTACGCCTCACCCATAATTGCGCAATTGAGGCGTACCTCACATAGGGTGAGGCGTACGCCTCAACCAGTGTCCAAATTGCGTGCGCCTCGAGGCTCTTTTGGATAGAATTGCGCAGAGGCCGCCAATTATTGCGCAATTTTAAACAGAGATTTTCCCTTGCCCTTATTTAAACAAATTCGGCTTAAGAAACAATTAGGGGTAGTTTTGGTATTTGTAGGCTTCTAAAAATTTTAACTCCATAAATATACATAATTAATTATAGGTTCTATATATCAAATTGATCAAAAAGTTACATACCGTTAACTTTGAATTTTTCTCTTAAGTCTTGTCGTGACTCGTCAAAATGCGTGTGACAACCTACGATCGTCGTTTTCGGTTTTTACAGTAAAATTCCTTTGGAGAAGTCAAAATGTTTTTGTGGTGATACCAATTTTTAGCATGCATTTTCAATTCCTAGAACAAATTTTAGTTAACCAATCTTTTTTACTTTCAAAATCGTTGATTAATCTTTTATTCATTTTTTCTTTCTTCTGATCATCATTTTGGATAACAATTATGTAATAAACATATATATTAGGAATGTTGTATGTTCCCTTGAGTTCGAATTTTTAATGAAGAGAGTATATTCTTCTTAACATTATTTGTACCTTATTCCATTCTTTGCTTCAGTAGATCTCTTAAACGAAGCTCTATGAGAATGATTTAGATCATATATTGCATACTTTATTGCCATGATCAATCAATTAATGCATGCCCCAAGGTGCTAAATCTATATGATGCTTACCCTATATTATTCTACCTGTCGTAAAGGACATTTATTCAACATAAATAATGAACTCATATTTGAGGCTTTTGAGGATGCACATGATGTCTAGTGGTGAAAAGATCAATATTTTTATATTGTGTACTTATTAGGGAAATTTAAGTAACATGAAGGAGCAAAAAGTAAAATGTGGTATTAGATTCATTTTTTAATCATATTTTAGCGTTATGACTCATGGAAAATTTGAGTTACTATGAGCGGAAATCATCCTAATTAAGCAATGCATCATGTGGGAAATGACATATGAAGTTGTTTAATGCTAGCGAATCAATAATAAGCATTGCGCATTACCCAATATGGCATGATTATATGTAAAGCATATTGGAATTAACTTACGCTTTATCAAGAAAAAGTTAAAATAAGGCTTGCTCTACACGTTACTAATGGACTAAATGAAACAATGTTTCAAGAAATCATCTCCAAACTGGATATGAAAGACATCTATTCTCCTACTTGAGGGGATGTGATGGAACAAACAGATTAATGTCGGGGAATGAAATCAATATTTCTTGGATTCATGCATGAAGCTTTGGATTTAAATTATTCAGATATTAGTATATTTGTAGATATTTTTCTATTTTGGTGTTAACTAGTTTTCTTATTTTCTTCCTAGAGTTCTATAATATTGCCTTTTATCAAATGCTTTGAGGAATAACAAAAATTCCATGTTCTCCATAGAAGCATGTCACTTCTGTTCATCTTTTTAATAACATGCATTGTTGACTCAACTACTTGATTAAATAAACATATATTATGAGCAATGCTCGTCTAGTGCCATAATCATTTTTAATTTTTTTTTTAATTTAGGTTTGCTTTTTTTCTTTTGATGCAAATCTATTTTTCAGATGTAGTTTTATCTCAGAAGATGTTTCATAGCAGTTTGTTTGACGACCATTTCTTTTATTTATGCTGAAATCTTTTGCTAAAATACCCATTTATTTTCAGTGAAATTGACAAGGACTGCCTTAGATTAACTGCAGCAAAATTGCTTCTTCGGTTTGCTACACGATTTGATTCCTTCATTCCATCTAAGATCTTTCATTTAATCATTGCAAGGGCAAGGGTATGAATTTACCATACATTTGTGTTAATGCATTATCGATTTAAAGAGAATTTTTTTTTTTTCATGTGAAAAATGCTCCTGCTGTATCGCATTACTTTTCTACTGTAATTTTGTTCTGATGTCATTACTCTTCTTCAAAAGTGTTTCTTTTTTTTTTTTAATGCAGTGATGCTTTACACCTGGAATTTATGTCATGATAGTCATATTATACTTGATTAATCAATCCAAAGTCGCCTGAGTATGGTCTGACTTGTATGTTGTCTGTTACCTCCATTACGATCTCCTCAAACTTATGGAATGGTCATGTAGATGGTTAATCCACCCATGATCAAAATTTGTATCCCATTTGATAAACATGTTCTATATATTATAAACCTGTTCATATGTACAACTTAATGCCTACTCAGAGTTGGCAAATGTAAGCAGATTGGTAAACTTACAACCCGCTAACCTCAATTTGAGCAGTTTATGCGCTGATTAACTTAGTTTCTCAAAATGTAACCTTATATCCTGATATTCCTACATAAAGAGTTGTTTAACTTTGAATGCCAACTTTTTCCAGTACACTAATTAAGTACCCATGTACTTCTATGAGGCTGCCAAAATAATTGATAGCAGACTCACTGAAGGATTTCAAAGCAGCTAAAAAACCAGGAGGTTTCAAGCTAACAAAACACTGAAATGCTGGTATAACTGATGCTCAATGAAATTTACAAATTGCAATGATCAAAGGGCCAGTGTTGTATTTTTGTTTAGTGGGGTGGTTAGTCTAATTCAAAGTTGCTAAAGGAAACTTAAAATGGAAAATAAGTGGCTTCTTTTTCTCATGCATATCCTCCTTCAAATTTGGTGCTTCGTGCTTCCCTAAAGATCCAAGTTTTATGTTGCATGAGTGCTAACAAATATAAAGAGTTTGCTTTCAAGCACTCTTTTTACTTCATGTGTAATACTTTGGAGCCTCCTTAGTGATTTAAATATTGCATTACATGAAACACCAAGACTTTATGATCAAATCCTAAGTCACTCCCTTTTGTTGAGACAAAAAATCAACAAATATATACACCTCCATGTGTGACATTTTGGAGCCTATCTAAGCTCCAAATGTTCTATTACATTAATCATTAAGGCTTTGGGAACAAATCCTAAATCCCTCTTTCATTTGCTAATAACATAAAATTAGCAAATGAACTTTTAATATATTTCATGCATGATACTTAGACCATTCTCGAAACTCCAAGTGATAGAATGCATGAATCATTTGAAACATGGAACCAAATCCCAAGTTCTTCTATCCTCATTTGTTGGAACATAAAACTAACAAATATCTTCTCATGCAAGATGTTCTAAAGCTCCTCAAGCCTTTAAACATATCGCTACATGAGTCCTTTAATTATAGGACTCAAATCATGGATTTCTCCATTCACTTGGCCTAAATTGAGTGGATGGTAACTTCTCTTTGAACACAAAATGTCCAAAGAGTGTCTTCAATTAGCAAATAGCAACCTCTAAGTTGCATTCTAGTTATCAATCTCTTACAAGCCAAAAGTATACAACATTTGAGCCTTATTTTGTTCTCCTAGATTCAAATTGAGGGGGTGGATACCTTTTCTTTTAAAGACCAAATGTTCAAGAACATTCATGAAATTTGTAAATTTCTAGTTACATCTCCATTCACTCAACCCTGACTAAGTGAATGATTTTTTCTCCTTGAACATCAAGTGTTCAAGGGACCTCCCTCTCGTTCTCCTAAGCCCAAATTTAGGAGAATGGTTATCTCTCTTCGAACACCAAATGTTCAAGGACATCTATGAATGTGTAACTCATATGTTGCATTTTGTTTTTATCTTTCTTCCTACAATCAAAATTGTAGAAAATCTTTCCATTCAGTTAGCCTAAATTAAGTGAATGTGTGTCCCTTTCTTTGAGCATCAAATACTCAAAGAAATTCCTCCAACTTGCAACCCATACGTTGCAGTTCATTTCTACCTTTCTACAACTCAAAGGTTGTAGAAAATCATTTCATTCTCCTAAGACTCAAAATTAGGAGAATGTGCACTTCTCTTTGAACACCAAATGATCAAAGAATGTTCATGAGCTTGCAACCCCCAAGTTGCACACCTCTTCTCTCATTTGCCTAACACAAATTTGGTAAATGATTATGCATCATTGGACATATGGTTCAATGATTTACCCTCTCATATGAAACCCTTAAGTAGTGTATTCCTTCATATCTTCTAAAAATCCAAAGGTTGTAGGAAGATCTATTCATTCCTCTAACCTAAATTAGGAGAGTGTGTATCCTTCTCTGAGCATTAAATGCTCAAAGAACTTTCAAGAGTTTGCAATTCCTAAGTTTAATCTTCTCTCTTCCATCCCTCCAACCCAAATTGGATGAATGAATCTCTTCTCTTTGAACACCAAATGTTCAAGGGATTTCCCCAAGTTGCAACCTCTAAGTTGCATTTCTTCCATCATCTCTTATAAGCCAAAATTATGGGAGAATATTCAAATATTCCACTCTCCTAAACCCAAATTAAAAGAGTGTACCCTCTCTCTTTGAACACCTAATGTTCAAAGAGCGTTCAGAAGTTTGCAACCCAAAGTTGCATCTTCTTTCCTCCTTCTACTACTCAAAAATTGTAGAGATTCCTCTCATCCCACTAACTCAAGTTAGATGGGTGAATATCCCTTTCTTTGAATACTAAATATTGAAAGAAATTCTTCCACTTCGCTACCCTCAAGTTACATTTACCCCTCTTCTCTACAAATAAAAAATTGTAGAGAAGTTCCCTCTTTTTTACAAATGAAAAGTTGTATGAAACTCTCATTTATCCAACTCATATTGAGTGAATCAATCTTGTTCCAAATCAATCTATTTGTTGAACCAAAAACGACAAGTGGTTTCATCCCAAACATAGAATTCAAAAGCCCCATCTCCAATCCATCCTTCCAACCCAAGTTGGAAGGGTGCAACCATCTATTTGACATCAAAATGTTCAATGACATTCATGAACTTGCAACCCATAAGTTGCATATTCCCCAAACTCTCCGCCAACTTTCTAGTCGTAGGAGACTTTCCCTCTCTTTATGATATAGAACCGGGGGGGGTGGTTAAAAATTTTCTCTAAGTGTATGTTCAATTGGGGAATTAATTAATTTAGAAGAGAGGGAAAGAGCTAGGGTCGGCCAAAGGAGGGGAGAGAATTGTCTAGGTTCGATGAATATAGGAAGAGGTACCTAGGTTCGATGAACGTAGGAAGAGGTGTCTAGGTTCGATGTGTAGGAAGAGGTGTCTAGGTTTGATGAATGTAGGAAGAGGTGTCTAGATTCGATGAATGTAGGAATTTTGAATTGATTCCCAATCAATTTCAGATTTTATCATTCCTTGATTGAGGGAAGACTTTTCAAAATTAAATTAGGAATGAGCATTTAAATCAAATCTTATTGGAATTTGAAATAGGTTTGATTGGAATACTCTCCTAATTTAGGAAAGGATTTGAAATTTAAATTCATTTGAATTTAAATTCAAAACTTTTCCAAAATTAAAACAAATCCAAATAGGAAAGAAGGAAACTAGGATGAGAGTGTCACGACTCGGCCCGATTAGCTCGCAAGTGTGAGGCGTAAATGGAGATCAGACAGTAGGAATTAAAAACTTCCATATTTCATTATACAAAACATCTTCCAATCATAAGAAAGAGCCACTAAAATAAAACCAAGAGGGAAATTTTCTTTCTTTCTATTCATTTAATAACACATCTTCATAATAAATCAAATCATAAAGATTTCCAAAATATGAAAGATGTTCAAAAACATTTCCTTATATATCATCTCTAATCTTTTTATATCAAAACATCAAAAACAAAAAGACAACTTGCCGTCCGTCATCTTTCTACGACGGTACGTGAGGGGATGTCTATCCATCATTATCCTTTATCAGATTCTTCTGAAAAGTGTCCCACAATATGTGTGAGTCATAACTCAGTAGATGTCAATGACATTCAAATAAATTTAGGTACAAGGGAAGAAACTATAACATTTTTTTATGTCTCAATAAATGAATAATCAACATATTATAACATTTGTCTAAGATGAAATATGCCTTTACATCAACCTTTAGGTTCTCATTCTTTGCATAATCTTTCAGTTTTTACTCTTTAAATATTCATGCCTCAAATAAAAGCCTCATATGTATATAACATAAAGATGCAATGTTCATAATATCTTAATATATATAACACCTGTCTCAGAAGTATCATTTGTACTGATCAGGGACATAAAAATTGGTCATTCCTTTACCATTTGGTTCAAAAGAACTTCCTTTACCATTTGGCTTAAAAGAGCCTCATTACTATTGCTCAAAAGAGCTCATTTACCATTGATACTTTCACGTCAACATGCACATGCACATAATTATTACATATTCATAAAAGAGGCTTATGTAAACTATTTAAATGTATGTTTTCATATAGAAATACATATTTGCTATGCTCAAATATATATTTGAATGTAAAGAGAAGGCATGTGTAGTACATGTAAAGGATGAAGTATGAGATTCAACATTGAGTTCTAGTATTGCATAAAAAAAAAAACCTTGCTAAAAGCCCTTACGAGCCTTTTAGTTCTAGTATCTTATGTTTAAAAGAATTTCACTTCACCTACCTCACTACAATGTGATCCATCAAAAGTCCTTACGAACCTTTTCTCTTACGCAATCAAAATCTACAAGAGACAAACATAAGATATAAATATAAATTTTCTCCCTCTCAAACCTTTAAAAAGCCCTAGGTTATAAACATGTAACTATTTCATACACCAAGCTTTGATTTTCTATATAACCCCTCACCCAAATTACGATAATTCCATTATTATTTCCACTAGAATTAGGATTTCATCATAACTCTAGCTTTTAGAAATCCTCAAATAAATATTTGCTCACCTCAAACATACAAACCTCATCTATCCCTTAAACTCAAGTAAACATACAACAATTTATTGGA